AACCACCATGATCTTGGCTCCGCTGGTCACCTTTATTTCCCTCAACGTCTTATCCTCAGGGACAAGTCCCTTATACATGACTTTCTGCATGGCTGGCGGGAGACCTTGGGAAAAGGCAGCAGACAGTGAAAGGAAAATCGAAAAAACGTACTTGGACCAGTGCACTTTGACAACAGATCCCAAAGGGAGCACTGCCCTACCCCCCCATGACTTTTGCACACCTTCGTCCTCTGAAAAGCAGGACGAAGAAAGCCTAATGTTCTGTTCAGAAGCCTGGACTGCCCACAGACAAGGCCTCCGACACAAAAGAGCAGCCTGGGCAGCAGACGCCTGTGCGGATGGAAGCGTAGTTAAAGCGCTCAAAATGGGGCTGGGAGGCCTGAGGAAATGGACCCTCGGATTCACTGAATTTTAATCAGTCACACCTGGCTGCCACACTTACATCAAAGCTAGAGAAAGCAGGACCTTACAGACTGGTAATTCAAAGAAAGCCCACTTCCTCCCGCAGTCCCCACTGACAGGATTCAACACCAAGCTGAGAGCCACAGAGGGTGCTGCTCTCCTGACAGGCTCCAAATGGCAGCAATTCTGCCAACTTACACTCCAGACACCTGGCCCGATGCTGGTGCGCTGCTCAACTGCCTAAAGGGGCAACGCGCCATAAATGGGACTCGTCTGCGTCACCCTCAACCCCAGTGAGACACAAAGCTTGAAGACCGCGTTCCCCAAGACCAATGCTGATTACCCGAGAGCCTGACCCTATTAAGAAGCCTCTAGCCGAAACCAGTGTGGCTCAGTAGATAGAGCCATCGGCCTGTGGACTGAAATGTCCCAGGTTCGATTCCAGTCAAGGGCATGTACCTTGGTTGAGGGCACATCAATCAGTGGGGGAGTGGGGGGGGTGTAGGAGGCAGTTGGTCAATGATTTTCTCTCATCTACGTTTCTGACTCTCTATCCTCTCCCTTTCTCGCTGTAAAAACTCAATAAAGTATATAAAAAAAATAAAAAAATTTAAAAAAGCCTCTAACCCAGTCCACCCCAGGAGTGTGAGGCAGCTCCTTATGGGTTCTAGCAAGGCTCCCCCAAAACAGCTCCTGACTGGCCCACATGCGTGAACCTGGTTTCCGCCCCATTTGTGGCTATGTAGAAAGACACTGTTCAGTAAAGCTACAACTACGGGGCACTGAGTGGGCAGAGGGTAAAAAATTAACCCAAGTTAAGCGCCAGGTGGCCATAAGCCTCACTGGCGAGGCAGAAACCCTCCACTGTGCAGACCCGCCGGACGGCCAGACTGCTAACAAAGGATCCCCTGTACGTCAGTCCCAGATTTCTGAGCCGCTGACAAAGTCACAAACATGGGGCCCCCACTAGGCCACGTGATGCCGTGTAACTGGCGTTAAACACTGCAGCATGGATTCCACTCTGAATTGGACTGGGACTTCACAAGCACCTTCTGGAGAATTTCCCCTGCATGGAACAGTTCTAAGCCTGGTAAGTGATCATTTGTAACCCAGAGCCTGTATTCAAGAGACATGTATGCTCCCAGGGTGTGGCCAGTGGGAATGCTCACATCTGCATTCCCATATCTGACACCTCACACATGTGGCAGAGCAAGACAGGAATATGGAAATGAACTCAATTGGGTATAAGACATTTTAACCCTACATTTGGGAGTGGAAGTGTCCTCATAAACAATTTTTAGATGTTATTACAGATTTACAACTCCTTATTTTACTTATTTTTAAAAAACATATTTTATTGATTTTTTACAGAGAGGAAGGGAGAGGGATAGAGTTAGAAACATCAATGAGAGAGAAACATTGATCAGCTGCCTCCTGCACACTCCCTACTGGGGATGTGCCTGCAACCAAGGTCCATGCCCTTGACCGGAATCGAACCTGGGATCCTTGAGCCCACAGGCCCATGCTCTATCCACTGAGCCACACCGGTTAGGGCTACAACTCATTTTAAACCCCATAAACAGAGGACTGTTTATGGGGTTTAAAGTAAGGAGCTATAAAAAAGTTTTGAACTTTTATGAAGGCCAAAAATTTTAGGGTGGTTTTTTGTGTGTATGGCTTTTTGTTTTTATAAATGTAATTTTCCCCCCCTTAAGCCTACAGCACCCAGTAATCCCAGGCGGTCTCCCATCCAAGTACTAATGAGGCCTGACCCTGCTTAGCTTCCGAGATCAGAAGAGATCGGGCGCATTCAGGGTGGTATGGCCGTATATTTTTAAAATACGTCATATATCCTCCACAGAGTTTGGGGCAGCACCATTATCACCAACCACACTAACATTTTTATGATAAAACATAACTCTTCACGTTAACCCTGGTCAGGTTTTGCTGCCATATTTACACGTTTTGCGAGTTTGGAAATGCATAAACAAGGGGATATGGACTGTGACAGAAAACTATGTCCTTCCCACCGCTGGCCATGTGCCTTGCTGCCTGCCACTAAAACCAGTGTTGGTCAGCTGCATGCTCTCCCTGGGACACAGGAGAGGAGGAGAACACTACCAAGCGTGGCCAGGAGGCTCCCTAACAGGGACTGGGCCTGGTGGGTGACAAGATCACAGTGATGGCTCTTCCACCTGGCATCCTCTGACAGTGCAACACACTGACCTCCAAAATGAGCCGCAGAATGTGAAAGCCTGGCCCCTATTTTCAGGGAAGGGGGGGGGGGGGGAGATATCGGCATAGTTTTCTTCCTCGAGCTTCACTCGGCTTCCTGAGGGGGTCAGTTTAGAGGAACCTCTAAAAGCTATTGATGTTCATGTCTTTCCAGAAATGGGCTTGTTGACTTGTGGGAAGCCACACACCAAAAAAAACAATGGAAGCACTTGCACAAAATGAGGAATTAGTTCTAGCAATGGCATTTTCCTCTGGCACTAAACGGGAGAAACCCGCGTCTGACTCTGAAGCCTGCCTTTACAAAGGCCTTATCCTAAAGTAGATAAGACTTGAGACACACTGACCCGCCAGATGAGACAAAGTTGCAAATCTCAGGTAGTTGTCACCTCCACTCAACAGCCAGCGGCACCCAACTGCTGCCATAAATTTCCATCATGGGCCCTGTCCAAAGAGGAGCTTATTCTAGGGAGAATATAACCAACCACGGCTCCAGAGGACAGTGCCTCAAACTTCCCAGAACGAACAGTCACATGACGGACTCACTTTCTGCCTGCACAGCGGCTCCTTCTTGTTCTCTTCGGCCTTGGCGTCCTGCTGCGCAGAGTCTTTGGGCGTGTTTACTGCTAAAACGTCATTTATCGTGGAACCAACCACCATGATCTTGGCTCCGCTGGTCACCTTTATTTCCCTCAACGTCTTATCCTCAGGGACGAGTCCCTTATACATGACTTTCTGCATGGCTGGCGGGAGACCTTGGGAAAAGGCAGCAGACAGTGAAAGGAAAATCGAAAAAACGTACTTGGACCAGCGCACTTTGACAACAGATCCCAAAGGGAGCACTGCCCTACCCCCCAGGACTTTTGCACACCTGAGCAATTCACAACCTGTCTCAGCCTCAGTTTCAAATCTTTATAATAGTGACACTAGTTCCCTCTGTATGGAATTGTCTTAAGGACCACAAGACAGGACAAACAGTATTTAGTGCAGTTCCTGGTAATTCAGTAACTGCTCGATAAAAATTAGCTGTCATTCATTCTAACTTGTCCCTCAATCTTCCAATCATCCAAATATTAAGCGAGAGTCCACCGGCCTCAGGGATACAAAAACCAATAAGGACTAAGTTCTTGTTTTTTTGGGAGCCTACAAGCTAGAGGAGCAAGCCTAGAGGGGGAAAATCATTGCAGGTGGCAAAGTGCTGACAATGAGATGAAATGAAGTAACAGGAACACCTGGGAGTGGTCACCAGCAGCGTTTCCACGACTCCCTCAGGAGACTGCCTGGTGTCGGTTAAAAATAAACTCCTGGCCACATTCCAGCCCCACTGACTCAAAATCTCGGGCGGAAGGCATGGAAGCTGTAAACTTTACAAGCGCCTCAGGTGGTTTTTATTAGATGCTTGGGCAGCACTAATTAGAAGCCTGGCGTAGGAGCCAGGCCTGGGCTTCGATCCCAGCTCAGCCAGCCACTTACTAGTTCTACAATGCCAGGCCTCATGGTGCCCTTCTGGGGAGTGGGCATCCTAGGACCCACTTGGGAGGACCTGTGAGCACGGGGCCCGCGGGCGGGGCTGCGCGCCACGGGGCTACCTGTAATCGAGTGAATCTTCTGCTTCAGCTCGGAGCCGGTGCTGTCCAGGGGGAACTTCACGTCGTGCTTCGTCTTGTTCCAGATGATCTTCAGGTCCACCAGCTCGCGGGCCGCGCCGCCGCCGCCCGCGTCCTCGCCATTGCTGACCGAGGCCTGCGCCGCGGGGTCCCCCGGGGGCTGGGCCGGGGCCGGCTGCAGGCTGCCTCGCGCGGCACAGGCGTCCTCGGCCGCCGCCCCCGCCGCCGCCTCGGCCTCCACGCAGTTGAGGGGCCGCGCGGGCGCCTCGGCCGCCACGGTCTCGGCCTCCGTGTCCATGCCAGGCTCCTCCATGCCTGCAAGGGGGGCAGGGGTGGGCGCTCGCCGCGGGCTGGGCCTGGGGCCGGACCCACGCGGGCGCCGCCGCACCCTGGCTCCCGAGTCCGGGCTCTCCCCACCACCAGCCCCCGGGCCAGGCCGCGTCCCCGCGGAGCAATCGCTTCACCCGCGCCCAGCCTGGCGCCCTCCACCCCGCCACACTCACCATCCGGGGCCCCGGCCGCCGCCATGATGATTGTGTACAACACCCACCGCGCCCGCAGGGACCGCCGGGAAAAGGCGAGCTGGCGGAGATTGGCCCCCGCAGCAGCCCCTAATCTCGCCCCGGCTAACCGGAAACAGGTGGAGGTTTCTATGGAGACCCGCCTCCTCCGCTTCCCGGGCTCGGCCCCTGCCACGCTTTAGCTTTCCGCGGCCGAGGGGGCAGGGCCCGGGAAGTCGCCCGCTCCAGGGGCTCTGCCCTCTAGCGGCCGAGCCGGGCCGCAGCCGAGCAGGGGGCGTGGGCTCGCAGGCTAAGTGGCTGCGCCTTTAAGGGGCGGGGTTGGGCCCAGTGTGGCGGAAGCGGATTGGCCGGGAGGAGTCCCGGAAGTGGTTCTCGGAGAAGCCCACGTGGATGAGTCGGACCCACATGGCGGTGCTCTTGAGGACGCTGCTGCGGCCAGGGAGGCCCCCGGGAGTGTTGGGGCGCTCCCTGGGACGGCGTGAGGCCAGCCTGGGCTCCGGTTCTGGGGCTGCGGTGCGAGTGCGGTTCGCCCCCAGCCCCACAGGTAATCTTAGGCGATGTGACGCTGCAGGCCGAAGCCATCGTCCGGGGCCCGCCCCCAGAACGCTTTCCAGCGAACCTCTTCCGGTGGAGTTAATGCGAGGGCCGCAAGACCCCATTTTGCAGGGCCAGGAGCAGGTCCAGGAGCGGAAATTGTTCGCGTTGCAGGAATTTCGTTGTGTTTATTGGATTGCCCCATCTCTTTCGGTCTCTTCTTTACGTATTCAGTAAATGTGTACCAAGGGCAAACTGCGAGGTTCTGTTCCTCTGCGATACAACGACCATCTAGAAAGTAGGGCCCTTGCTCTGGTGGCCGACAGACGTGTACAAAAATACTGTAATTTTAGGCAGTCACGTGTGCCATGTGGGAAATGAAGCAGGAGAGGTGACGTGTTAGTTTAGGACAAGTAGGATGCTCAAGAACATTTTGTTGAGGTGACATTAAAGCTGATAACCAAATGAAAGGAATGTAGCATGTAGGAGGAATCTTCTGAGCAGAAGAATTGCAGGTACACAGGCCTTGCGGTTAGTGTTGGAGCTAAGCAAGCCAAAGGGAGTTAGGGGCCATTGTACAGCCTATTGGAGATCTCGTCAGGGCCTCCCCACCAGTTCCCAGAACTGAGCTTCCTTTTTTTTAGCCCCTGCTGAGTTAGAGCCCTGTTTCTTGATTAACCCACCAGTTCCCAAAACTCTTTTCTCGAGAGGCTGCTTCTGCCTTCTCCACAATGAGCGTGCCCCTCCTGAATCCCAGGGTCAGTATACAAGGCTACCTTTGTGGCAAGATCCCATCTGCACTTTTGTAAAATCAATATAAGTGGATTACTAGAAAAATGAAAACCTAAAAAGCATACTTTATCTTTAATTAAACAAAATGGTTCTGTCAAAGTGCTGCTCTCAGCATTTTGCTCTCAATTTCTATGCTTCCTCGCAACAGTGAGCAGACCAGCACTGGTTTGGGTGCCAAAGCCTGAGATTGGGTACAAATTTTTGGCTTTGCCACTTCTTCCGAGCTGTGTGACTTAGAGAAATTACTCAGAGGCTCTGAGTTTTATCTGTCAAACAGGCCTAGCAATAGTACCCCACTCATGTGTTTGAAATAATGTAGCTGAGGCATTTAACAAGGTCTGGTACTTATAGAAAGCACTTAATAAAGTAGCCTCTGTTTTAATTTGTTGTTATTAGTGTTTTCTTTGTTGTGATTAGTGTTTGCTGATTTGGAGGAGAAGCCCATATGAGTACAAGCAGATAAAAGGATTATCAAGCATCACAGATCATTACAATAGCTAACTGAAGGGTGTTCTTTGGTCAGCATTTAGGCCTCACTGCAACCCAATAAGGAAGGTTTCTATTTTGTGTTTTTAATTCCTCTCATAGATGAGGAAATGGAGCTCATACACATTAAGTCAAGTGCCCAAGGGTTGCCAGCTAATAAATGGTGAAGCAGAATTTCAATCCAGGTCTGTGTATCTATAAGAGGTTTCACTTTTAACTGCTAGACCGTCTTCTATCTTGGGACCACTGGTTTTATGGTGGCCTTGCAATAATCAGCTGGAGGTCACACATGATCTGTTGACATGAGTCTGCCTGACCCTAAGGGAGCTGTGCTGTCTCCTGAACTTGGAGGTGCAGGTGAGCTCATTGTGCAGACAGGGCGGTGGGCTAAACCTAGGCAGGCAGGTTAAGAGGAAATAACAGCCTGGGAAAATTGTTCATTTTAAGTTGTCAGTCAAGAAGGATGGAAAAGCAAAATCTTAAGAATTTAAACTCAGGTGAAGAGAAATATGGACTCAAACGTTAATTTTGGTTTGAGTGTAAAGCCAGCACTTAATGTAACAATCTCAAGTAGACAAAATTCAAAATGTATAATGAGGATAGTCATGACAGTGCGTATTTTAAATGGGGTATTTTTCCCCAAGCAAATCATTGAATTTGCATAAATTAAATGCATGTGTGGCTTCAGTGACAGTGGCTTCAGTGACTCGGCCTCTGCCTCTCCTCCTTTGGGTGAAACTTGACCTTGAGGCAGATCTCACAGTAGAGTGGTGGATATTTGGAGGTAGTTGGAACATTTTTACAAAATGTTCCCTGGGTCAACAGTTACCTACCTGCTGGGACAGGTATGCCAAATGTGGGTGGTCTGCCTGTTCCAGAAAGAGGGGCTAAATGAGTCGTCACCCCGTCCTCCCTGCGGTCTGACTGTCTAGGTGCTAGCTGGAGAGGTGGGACGGAGGTAGTGGTTTCTTGGTCTTTGATGTTCTTTGAGACATTCTGTTACAAACAGATTGCTTGCCCCTCAACTGAGGCTCGCCAGCACATTCCCTGACTTGTCTGACTGTCCTTTTCTGCCAGGCTTCTTGCACCTGGGTGGCCTCCGCACTGCCTTGTACAACTACCTCTTTGCCAAGAAGCACGGAGGGAGCTTCATTCTGCGGCTGGAGGACACGGACCAGACCCGCCTGGTGCCCGGGGCAGCGGACAATATCGAGGACATGCTGGAGTGGGCAGGTGAGGCTGGCTGGGAAAGGACCTGCAGCCTTCCCACAGTGCCCAGGAGGGAGAACAAGGGATTCCTGGAGAGATGGGGGTGTTTGTGCTGCCTGGGGTGGCAAGTGCCATCTGAAAAGACTTAAGCTCCCTGAGGAAAAGCTCCACGCTGTTTTGATCCTGTTCTTATCCCAGAATCTGAAGTCCTCCTAGGAGCAGGCAGGCATAGGCCCAGTGTAGGCTGGGCCTGGGGAGCTGGACCTGGGTGAGCGGAAGTTCAGCCCTGCACTCCCCAGTGGGGATGCCGGCCCAGCTTGTCAAATCTTCTGCCTTCCGAGAGGAGACACAACCCCAGGGTTCTGTTGTTTTTCAGTGAATATTTCCCACTGTGAAATCTGAGCTCAGGTTTTTGAGGGCTTTGAACCACGTTATATGAGTGAAAGAATGAAAGAAAATGTTATCAGCCTCTGAAGTGGATTTTCTTATGGGAAGTTTGATCCTGAGCACAGCCAAGTTCAGGGAGGACAAGGAGCATGTGATGGTGTTCCTGGGTCAACAGTTGCCTACTTGCTGGGACAGGTATGACTAGCTAAGCTCCCCAAGAAAAAATACCAAGGCTGTTTTGAGATGTGTATTTTATTTTATTTTTATTTATTTATTTATTTTAAATATTTTATTGATTTTGTACAGAGAGGAAGGGAGAGAGATAGAAAGTTAGAAACATCAATGAGAGAGAGTCATTGATCAGCTGCCTCTTGCACACCCCCTACTGGGGATATGCCCGCAACCAAGGTATATGTCCTTGACTGGAATCGAACCCGGGTCCCTTCAGTCCCCAAGCCGACGCTCTATCCATTGAGCCAAACCGGTCTCGGCAGAGATGTGTATTTTAATCTCAGGGTTGCTAAAGGGCAGAAGCCAATTTCATTTCTGTCTTTTGTCGTAGAGGGCTGTACCAGATACTAGGTCGAGATTAGCTGAATAATTCAACAAGGTCACTTACTGTGACCCAGGAAGTGTTCCACCAGTGAGCAGAGACCCTGTGCTCAGTAAGTAGAGGAGACAGGCAAACAGATTAATTCATCCCTGTGATACTGAGTGGTGATGAGTGCTATGGAGAAAGGGCAGCAGGTTAGGGAGCCCGTGGGGAGGGGTGCTCGTTTAGACGTGGTGGTCTTCGCTCTGCAGGTGACGCTAGAGCAGAGACTTGCACAGAGTGAGGGCCAGCCCCAAGGTTACTCAGGGGAAGAGTGTTCAAAGCAGAGCGGATTGCAGATGCGAAGTCCCCACAGAAGCTAAGTCCCCTAGAGGGGCAGCCGAAGGCCACAGCGGCCCAAGCACAGTGAGCAGGCAGAGCAGTGGGGCGTGCGGGCCATGGAGAGAACGCTGGCCGCATGTGGGCTCTGCATGGGCACGCGGGGTGCTGACGAAGAGGACATGGAGCTCTGAAAGGCGACTCGCCCCTGTCGCAGTGCTGGCCAGTGCGTCCAACCCAGGCGTCTCCTCCCGAATTTGTGTGAGCACCGGGTGTGCCGGATTACCCCGAGTTCATCTGAAAGCTTTTTGAGGGCAGAATGGCTATCCTTCAACTCTTGGGTGTCCCTTCTGCCCTCTCCTGGAAGCGTTCACAGTTGAGCATGTCCTCTGTGACCTGGAACCAGACCTTGGGCTGGGGTTTGGCTGATAATAGATCACGTTTCCTCCAAGGTTTATAGTGCAGCTGCAGAGGGCTATGTGCTTTGTGAGCACTGATGCTTTTTAAAAAGTATTTTTTATTGATTTTTAGAAAGAGGGAGAGAGAGAAACGTTGACACTGCTGCCTTCTGCGCACATCCACAGCCCAAGTGCCCTGACTGGGAATCGAACTAGCAACCTTTCAGTGCATGGAATGTCCAGACATCGGCCATACCGCCCAGGGCCCACTGATGCTTTTAGTTCTCAGTCACTCTGCACAGTGAGCTGTCAGCCGCACTTTTCAGAAAAGGGAATGCAAAGAGGCCGTGCCGGGAGTGGAAAGAGCTTGTATTCTGGGCCAGCTCACCTGGGTTTGAATACAGTTGTGCCCCTTCTTCTTGGCCAAGTAACCTAACAAAGTCCCTCTGTGCCTCAGTGTCCTCGTTAATGAATGGGGGTAATAATGACATCTGCCTGGTATGGTGGTTCTGAGGCTTAGTGAAGATCACAGAATAGAAAGACGGCTGGCAGGTTCTAGCACTCTGGTGCTCCCACATCTGGATCCCTTGTCACAGACAAAGCCCAGAGTCCAGTGTGATGGCTGTGCCCTGAACCACACTCTTCCTCCTGAGTCAGCTGGTGCAGGCCTGGGCCGTTTCCCCTCCCCAGGGAAAAGGGGATGGAAGAGGAAGTGCAGTTGGGAGTGTGGACGTGGAGCCAGCACGCCTCCACCTGACTCCTCACCCACCAGGCTGCGTGGCGTGGAGCAAGGAACCTCTGTGCTCGAATTTCCACCTGCGGAAGGGAAACCGTGGTAGTGCTGAACTCGCACGTTGTTGGACTAAAAGTTCTACTCTGTTTGCCAGGCCCTAAAGCCGTGCCTGGGAGCCAGTGTCGCATGCATCTTATTAACTGGTGATCACTCCCTTTCCGTGCTCCAGGTATCCCCCCTGATGAGAGCCCCCATCGGGGAGGCCCCAGGGGGCCCTACCTGCAGTCCCAGCGGCTGGAGCTGTACGCCCAGGCCACGGAAGCTCTGCTGAAAACCGGGGCTGCTTACCCCTGCTTCTGCTCTGCACAGCGGCTGGAGCTGCTGAAGAAGGAGGCCCTGAGGAGCCACCAGACGCCCCGGTGAGAGCCCAGCCTGCCAGGCTGCCACCCAAAGTCGGGCATGTTAGCTGTTGCTGCAGAACAAATTACCCCCAAACTTTTACGGTCTCACAGTTTCTATGGGTCAGGACGCTGGGCACTGCTCACCTGGACCTTTAGCTCAGGGTTGCTCCCAAGGCTCAGCTCGCAGACCACCGGGCGTCCTGGCTGTTGCCTGGACACGTCTGCTCTTTGCCGCGTGGGCCTCTCCATAGGGCAGCTCACAGCATAGCAGCGGGCTTTCCTCAGAGAGACCAGGGAGAAGCAGGAGAGCGAGGCAGACGCCAGAGTCTTTCGAGGAAGTGACAGCTCATCGCTTTGGTTCTACCCTGTGCATTAGGCGGAAGTCACCAGGTCCAGCCCATGCTCACAGGAAGGGGACGGCACAAGGACAGAGACCAGCAGGTGGGGCTATAAGGGGCAGGGTTTGAGCTGCCAGCCGCCTTCGGTCCTGGGGAGTAACAAATCAAGTAGTTTTAGTTACTTTTTATTTTGACAAAGTAGGATTTTCTCATGTTCAGGAAAATACACAAACAAAGCTCTCTCCCAACGCTGACTCTACCTACTCAGTCCTCTCCAGAGACAGCTGGTGGTAGAATTTGCTCGTGTCTCCTGCAGAGACATTCAGTACATACACTGATACATGCCTGTTATTTCTCTTTCCCCCTTCAAATGGTAGCACACAGTGAGGACTGCGCAACTTCTTGTCTTAAGAGTCAGTCTGTATCTGGCCACAGGTTTTTTTGTTTTGTAAATTTTTGTTTGTTTTTTTAGTTCACAGATTTTTTTGTTTGTTTTTAATATATTTTATTGATTTTTTTTTATATATAGAGAGAAGGACAGAGAGTCAGAAACATCGATGAGAGAGAAACATTGATCAGCTGCCTCCTGCACACCTCCCACTGGAGATGTGCCCGCAACCAAGGCACATGCCCCTCACGGGAATCGAACCTGGGACCCTTCAGTCCGAAGGCCAATGCCCTATCCACTGAGCCAAACCAGTCAGGGCCAGTTTTTTTTTTTTTTATGCTTACATGGTATTCCATTGTATGGATATACCATAATTTACTTAATCAATTCCTTAATAATGAACCTTTATGTCATTTCTAGTATTTGTTATAAAAAAAGAGAGCTATGCCCTAGCCAAGTTGGTTGCATACACCAAAAGGTTGTCTGTTCAATTCCTGATCAGGGTACATACCTAGGTTGTGGGTTCAATTCCAGTCTGGACATATGTGGAAGGCAATCAATCAATGTTTCTCTCTTATATTGATGGGGTTTTTTCTCTCCCTCTCTCCCTCTCTCTCTACTTCTCTCTCTCTGAAAATCAATAAGAATATATCCTTGAGTGAGGATTAAGAAAAAGAGCTGTGCCTGGCCAGTGTGGTTCAATGGTTGATCATCAACCTGTGAACCAGGAGGTCATAGCAAGATTCCCAATCAGGGCATATGCCTGGGTTGTGGGCTCAATCCCCAGTGTGGGGCATGCAGGAGGCAGCTGATCAATGATTCTTGCTCATCATTGATGTTTCTCTTTCTCCCTCTCCTCTCTGAAATCAATAAAAACATGTGTGCGTGTTTTTGAAGAGGAAGCTGTGATAAATGATGTGACAGGCATCATTTGCACACATGCGGTGTGTTTTTAGAGACCTTCCAGGAAGTGCTGCCTGGTGGCCCTGCACTAGCTGCACTCCATCAGCGGTGGCTTCATGACTTAGTTCCAGTTTCAGCAGGGTGTTTGCACAAGGGCTCGGATGTTTGGATAAGTGCACGACATCCCTTGCAGCACTGCTTCTTCACTGTAAACACTGGACTTACCCAGCGACAGAAGGGGGCTTTCTTTTACCAAGATCCATGTGGTCTTCAGAGACATAGATCATCAGTGTTGTTAGCAGCTATGCTGCTCTACCTCCCAACAGGTATGACAATCGGTGCCGGAACCTGAGCCAGAAGCAGGTAGCTGAGAAGTTGGCCAAGGACCCCCGGCCTGCTATCCGCTTTCGCCTGCAGGAGGAGGCACCAGCCTTCGAGGACTTGGTGTACGGCTGGAATCGGCATGAAGTAGCCAGTGTGGAGGGGGACCCGGTCATCCTGAAGAGCGATGGCTTCCCCACATACCACCTGGCCTGCGTGGTGGATGACCACCACATGGGCATCAGCCATGTGCTGCGTGGCTCGGAGTGGCTGGTCTCCACTTCCAAGCACCTGCTGCTCTACCAGGCCCTGGGCTTGCCGCCACCTCACTTTGCCCACCTGCCCCTGCTCCTCAACAGGGACGGCAGTAAGCTGTCCAAGAGGCAAGGGGACATTTTCCTGGAGAGTTTTGCTGCTGCCGGCTTCCTGCCAGATGCCTTGCTCGACATCATCACTAACTGCGGCTCCGGGTTCGCAGGTATCCACTCACCCGAGAGCTCCCGGGGGGGCCACAGCAGTGAGGCGCCAGGGCTTGGGTGCAGGACCATAGTTCATTCAAAGCTAAGCCTTTGTCCTTGCCTCAGACTTAGAGCCCAAATCTTAAAGAAGCACCAAATAGGATAGGATGACCTCTGTGGGGGAGATTTCTGAAAATAGTCTGCTTATTGTTTATTTTGCCCTAGTTTAATCCTTAAAATATCTTTAGGAGGTATGATCTGCACTGATTATAAGAGAATTGGGAGGTTAGGGAATATGCCAGGGTCCCAGCTAATAGAGGACGTGACAGGTTATTTTCAGCTGAAGCCCCCACAATGCCCAGTGGGACAGCATTGCTCTGGAGAAGCAGCCCCGCACAGCCGCTCTCAACTTGGGCTGCTCTTGGACTCACCCGGAAGCTCAGAGCACTGGTGCTGGACCCCACCCGGACCAGCGGGGTCAGGGTCTCAGGATGGCCAGACAGTGGGTACCGTCCCTGCAACTCATGTCTCTGAGGGCAGTGAGTGTGGTCAAACCATTTTTTTCCTTAATGACAAGCCTTTCTGCAAGTGAAAGTTCAGTTTGACCTTTGATGTAACAATAGCTAGAGATTAAATCCTTTGGTGAAAATGGGAAAGGGAGCCGGTGCTCGCTCAGCCTCCCTTGGAGCTGGATGTCGAGGAGGGAGTTGAGTGCTGGGCTTCCCTCACTTGCAGAGAACCAGATGGGCAGGACCTTGCCAGAGCTGATAGCCCAGTTTGACCTGACCCGGATCACCTGCCACTCAGCCCTGCTAGACCTGGAGAAGCTCCCAGAATTCAACAGGTGAGTGGGGAACTAGAGAGCCCTGGTGGAAAGGGGCTTTCTTGCTGATGATGGGTCCTCACAGAGGGTCCTGTGGGCTCCAGAGTCACACACCTGATTCTGACTATGAGCTCGTGTTTAGTGCTGTGGGAACAGTCACCTCACCTCTTCAGGCCTCTGTTTCCTCTTCTCTATAACAGAGCTATTAAGAGTTCCCACCCTGTGCAATTGTTTTAAGAGTTGAATTGTTGGGGGGGGGGGGCACTGGAGGGGAGCAATGGGAGGATAAGGACACATTTCTAATTCCTTAATAGAGGTGGGGAGAGGGAAGGAAAAAAAGAGTTGAGTTAAATTCAACATTGCATCAAAGTATCTGCGCAGCCCCCAGCATGTAGAAAGTGCCTGACCAATGGTAGGTATTCTTTTATTGTTACCACTAGAGGCCCAAAAAATGAAATTCATGCACGGGCAGGGAGGGGGTTGTCCCTCAACCCAGCCTGCACCCTCTCCAATCTGGGACCCCTTGAGGGATGTCCAACTGCCTGTTTAGGCCTGATCCCACCGGGATCCAGGACTGCTGGGTCCCAACTGCTTGCCTGCCTTCCTGATTGCCCCTAACCGCTTCTGCCTACCAGCCTGATCACCCCTAACCACTCCCCTGCCAGACTGATTGATGTCTAACTGCTCCCCTGTCAGCCTGTTTGCCCCCAACTTCCTTCCCCTGCTGGCCTGGTCACCCCTAACTGCCCTCCCCTGCAGGGTTGATCGTCTTCAACTGTCCTCCTTTGCAGGCCTGGTCCCTCCCAACTGTCCTCCGTTGCTGGCCATCTTGTGTCCACATAAGGGCAGGATCTTTGACCACAAAGGGGCAGCCATATTGTGTGTTGGAGTGGTGGTCAATCTGCATATTATTCTTTTATTAGATATGATAGAGACCTGATGCACGGGTGGGGGGCAAGCTGGTTTGCCCTGAAGGGTGTCCCGGATCAGGGTGGGGGTTCCCTTGGGGCGTGGGGCGGCCTGGGCGAGGGGCCTGTGGTGGTTTGCAGCCTGGCCACGCCCCCCGGCGACCCAAGTGGAGGCCTGGTATCTGGGACATATTTACTTTCTACAATTGAAACTTTGTAGCCTGGAGCGGAACCAAGCCTTCTGCTCAGGGGTGGCAGCCATTTCTGTTTGGATTTGTTTACCTTATATAATTAAACTTTGTAGCCTTGAGTGGAGGCTTAGGCCGGCAAGGACAGGTGGAAAGCTTGACTTCCTCCATTGCCGAGGAAATGCCTCTTTCCTGTTCTGTGGCTGTAGCCATCTTGGTTGGATTAATTTGCATACTCACTCTGATTGGCTGGTGGGTGTGATTTGTGGAGCTGAGTGATAGTTAATTTGCATATTACTCTTTTATTAGGTAGGATTATTTCTGTGTACCCCTCATATAGGTTCTGTTGACTGCCAAAGCCTTCAGTTTAGAACATCTCCCTTCCCCCTGACCCCCCAACCTCCTGGCCAACACTGAGGAGCACTGTCTCATGTCACCCGCCAACACTGAGGAGCACTGTCTCATGTCACCCGCCAACACTGAGGAGCACTGTCTCATGTCACCCGCCAACACTGAGGAGCACTGTCTCATGTCACCCGCCAACACTGAGGAGCACTGTCTCATGTCACCCGCCAACACTGAGGAGCACTGTCTCATGTCACCCGCCAACACTGAGGAGCACTGTCTCATGTCACCCGCCAACACTGAGGAGCACTGTCTCATGTCACCCGCCAACACTGAGGAGCACTGTCTCATGTCACCCGCCAACACTGAGGAGCACTGTCTCATGTCACCCGCCAACACTGAGGAGCACTGTCTCATGTCACCCGCCAACACTGTGTCAAGAGTGCTACACTAAAAAATCTTCAACACAGTTACCCTTCCCATCACTGCTGACATGTCCCAGTCTAAGGGCCTGGGTGGCACACAGCAGGAAGATTGCAGCGAATCCTTGCCACCTTCCCTGGCGCACTGAGGGATTGGCTCTCCTTGGGCCCTCATTGTATGAGTGCCCAAGACTGCAAACCAGAAATCTCTGTTAACTGGGCAGCCTCTACTCTGCTCAAGCCAACTGAAGCAGGGCGCACAGGGATGTCGGAAATCTTTTCTTCTATTGAATGATGGATTTTTTTCTTTTTAGAGGGGGAGAGAGAGAAACGTCAATTTGTTTTGCCACTTATTTATGCATTCTTTGGTTGATTCTTTTATGTGCCTGACCAGAGATTGAACCTGAAACCTTGGCTGGCATATTGGGATGAAGCTATAACCAACTGAACAACCCAGCCAAGGCGAGAAATATCTTTTTTTAAAAAAATATATTTTATTGATTTTTTTACAGAGAGGAAAAGGGAGGGACAGAGAGTTAGAAACATCAATGAGAGAGAACCATCGATCAGCTGCTTCTTGCACACCCCCTACTGGGGATGTGCCCGCAACCAAGGTACATGCCCTTGACTGGAATTGAACCCAGGACCTTTCAGTCCACAGGCTGACACTCTATCCACTGAGCCAAACCGGTTTCAGCTATGAGAAATATCTTATTTTTGTGTGATTTCTTTCTAATTTTAAATTGTTAGATATGATATTTTTACTAGAGGTCCAGCACACAAATTTGTGCATGGGTGGGGTATCTCGGCCTGGCTGGCAATCAGGACCAATCAGGTCCCATCTACCCAGTCCCAATCAAGCTGATCTGGCCAGCCAGCCAGGGGTAGGATATGCAGGAGATTGGCTGTGGAAGCGCACTGACCACCAGGGGGCAGCTCCAGCATTGAACATCTGCCGCCTGGTGGTCAGTGAGCTTTATAGCTACTGGTCCTTGGTCACAGATTGTTGTTAATCCTCACCTGAGGATATTTTTCCTTTGTTTTTTGTTTTGTTTTTTTTGTTTTTGTTCTTGTTTTAGAATGGAAAGTGGGAGGGATGGGGAGAGAGAGAGAGAGAAAGACACATTGATTGATTGCCTCCCAGGCGTGCCCTGACCAGGGCTGGAGATCATGCCTGCAACCAAGGTATGTGCCCTTGGCCAGAATCAAACCCAGGACCCTTCAGTCCGCAGGCCAGACTGGCCAGGGCATGTTAGCTACTATTTTAGAAGCAGCATGTCTCCATGTTGTTTGGGCCCCCAAACTACCTGTTTCAGACCCGGCCAGGTCCCTTGCCTGCTGTAAGTGTGGAGAACTCCTTTGGCTTTCCTCCAGGCTGCACCTTCGTCGGCTGGTGAGCGATGAGACCCAGAGGCGCCAGCTGGTGGGGAAGCTGCAGCTGCTCGTGGAGGAGGCATTTGGGAGCCAGCTGCCAGACAGGGCTGTCCTGGACCCAGCCAATGTGGAGAGGATCCTCCTGCTGAGACAGGTGGGGCTGGGAGCTCCGGGAGACTGAGGGCGTGGAGGCCCCCCACTCCTCCTTCCAGCCTGTCAGCCCTGTCCCCAGCGCACTGAATGGCTGCCTCTTTCTCCAGGGTCACATTTGCCGCTTGCAGGATTTGGTCTCCCCGGCACACTCCTTCCTGTGGACTCACCCTGCTGTGGGTCGAACGCAGCTGGATGCCATCTCAGAGCAGGTGGATGTGATTGCCAAGCGCGTGCTGAGGTGAGTTCCCGCAGGCCAAGCTCAAGGCTCTGTACCCTCTTCCCCCTCCCCGCTTGGTCCCCTTCACCCCAGGGCTGGGCGTTAGGGCTCGCAGCACAGCCCGTGGCCAGCGAGAGGTTTGGGGGCGCTAATCGCTCACCAACGCTCTTGGTAGGAGGGGAGCCCAGAGGAGCCCAGGCTCTCCCGGAAGAGATGATGCATTCAGGTTCCGGGTTGGACCCACTGGGTTCCGTTCTGCTCCACCTGTTACTCACCCAGGTAGCTCACCTGCCCAGATGGCCTCACTTTGGCCACGTTACTGCACCTGTGTGAGCATCGTTTCCTCAGCTGAAAGGTTGCTTACTGTAACAGTACCAGAACACTTCCGGTGACGAGAGCAGACAACAGCCATGGTGGAGGAGGGCTGGTCTGTGTAATTGCATGGTCAGACAAGGGCTGATTTGAAGCTAATGTGTGGCCCAAAAATATATCACCACGGCCCAGTTTCTCTGTCCTTTATTCTGCCCACACCCCTCCATGCTGGCTGCTCCGGTAGAGGGAGAACAGGTTTCTCTCCGCTATGTGTGTACTTCTCCTTACCTCACAGTCCAGGGCGGACAGCTTTCCTCCTTGTCTCCAGGGTCCCACCATCCCTAGAGTTTGTTCTTGTCCCTGTGGTCCATGGTGGCTCATGGACCATCGAGAATTCAGCCAGAGGAGAAAGAAGGAAAAGAGGAGGCAGACAGGACATTTCTCTCCCTAAGGACTTGACTTAAAAACTGTCCCGCTAGCTGGAACTCTTGTCTTAGGGCCACACCAGGCCTAAGGAAGCCTAGAAAATGTACTTTTTTTACTTGTCAGCCATGTACCCAGCTAAAAGTTTTGTTAATTATATAAAAGCGAAAAAAGTAACTTGTCTAAAATGATACAGCTAGCCCAGCCGGGGTGCTCAGTGGTTAGAGTCGGTGTGCACACCAAGGGCCCTGGGCTCGATTCCCAGGGAAGGGCAGGTACTTGGTTGCAGGTTCTCTGGCCCTGATTGATTGTGTTCAGGAGACAGCTAGTCAATGAGTCTCTCTCACATCAATGTTTCTCTCTGTCTCTCTTCCTCTTCCCCCTCCCACTCTCTGAAAAAATCAATGAAAAAATATCCTCAAGTGAGTATTAACAACAACAAAAAAGAATACAAGCATGTGACAAGAAATATAAATGTATGTCCCTGGCCAGGTAGCTCAATTGGTTGGATCATCGTCCCAGTGCCCCAAGGTTGAGGGTTCCATCCCTGGTCAGTGCACATGTAGGAATCAACCAATGAATACAGAAATAAGTGGAACAATTAAATCAATCAATCAATCTCTCTCACATCAATAAATTTTTTTAAAATTTAAAAAACATACAAATGGTACAAGAGGGTTTATAGCAAAACTAAGTCTTCCCTCCCTCCTCTAGCCCTTGACAGAAAGGCAGCCACACTTAGTAGTTTCCTTTGTGAATTGTTTATATTCAAGGATATGTATATACAACTTTAGTCCTATAATTTTTTAATTTTGAAATTTAATATTTTGGTTATTAATACATTCAAACCTCTTAAGCCTGGATTTAAAACCTAGAAATTATAAGAAGGTATATATTCAGGGAGTCCTATTTTTAATCCTTGTCCCCTATTAGCCCATTTCCAAAACCCTCTGTATTGTTACGACTGCTCTTAATTATGTCTGTAAATAATCCTTCTGCCGAATCGTTTTGGCTCAGTGGATAGATCGTCGGCCTGTGGACTGAAAGGTCCCATGTTTGATTCCGGTCAAGGGCATTTACCTTGGTTGCGGGCACATCCCCAGTAGGGGGTGTGCAAGAGGCAGCTGATCGATGGTTCTCTCTCATCGATGTTTCTAACTCTCTGTCCCTCTCTCTTCCTCTCTGTAAAAAATCAATAAAATGTATTTAATAAATAAATAATCCTTATCTTCCCTTTTTTTTTTTACACAAAAGGTACAATACAAGAACACCATTCTATGCCTTTTTTTCCTTTTACTTAATATATATTTTGATCTGCCCAGTACTTGGAGGGCATCCTCATTCTTTCCTGCAGCTAGCTACACCTAGCCCATTCCTATACCACTTTGCCACAATTTATTTAACACCCCCTCCTGTTGGACATTTGATTGCTTCCAGATTTTGCTGTTAAAACAATTCACAGTGATCTTACCTAGACACCATTAACATGTTCGTAAGGATAACGCCAAGATAAAGTTCCCAAAAGAGCTATTATTAGTAATAATGCTTTCTTTATTTGGGGCATTCCACTCTAGGGGCTGTTGGTTGTTATTCACTGGAAGTAATGTCATAACTGCCCATCCTGCCTCAGGCACTGTTTGTAGAGGCGCTCCCCTTGAGGCAGGAAAGCTGATACACAAATGACCAGAAGCTGCCAGATCTCTCAAAGTCCTCCTGTGCTCACGCCAAGCTGCAAGCCCGCTCTCCCGTGCCCTGAGCTGCCGTTGCGGGCTGCCCAGGACCTGTCCCTTTCACCTGCTCCTTGGCAGCTTGCTCCCTGCAATGACATGAGGAGGGTGTCTATTTCCCCCACATTTTATATTTTCGATATTTTGTCTCCATTTTGTAAATAACAATCACGTAACCCAGCCTATGCTGCGATAAGAATGATTACTCTGTCTCCAGTTGGAACTCAGTCGCTCAGGTTCTGGAGTTAGTAGATCTGTCTGTGCTGAAAGGCTATTTGTTCAGGTCACTTATGAGCCCGTACCCTGCGCCAGCAGCACTGCACATGGAGCAACCTCTGGGACAGAGCTGTCCGGACCCCAGGTGAGCAGGTGGTGTCAGAGTGGGCATCGTGGACCATCTGCCTCAGTCTCTGCTCAGTGGGGGACAGACTCCCCACCCTGCCTCCGTCTCTTGCTCTAACTTCAAAGCAGGGCTGGGGTGAGGTTTTTGCAAGGCTACCTCTAACAATAGGGAATTCCTCTTGAACTCAAACACAGTTTTGGGAGCAGATCTCAGCTGGACTGCCAGGAGAGGGCAGTGATTGCCGGCTCCTGGAGCTTAGGTCCTTACATGCTTCCATCTGAGGGCAGAGGATGGTTGTGGCAGGGCCCTCGCTGGGGCTGCAGTCCCCTGATTGCTTCCTTTCTGCTCTTCTATGTTACATCCAACAGTCTCCCTGTCCCCAGTCTTGAAGCTGTTTCAGATCATTTCCTAGAAGGCTCCATACTTCCAGCCTCCATCTAACCCTGTCCTGAGTTTCTTTAGATACTTTTGCAAAGCCTCAGAGCTCTTGGGTGTAATAATATTGGCTAATAACTAGCTTTTTATTGAAATACCGGAGGCCTGGTGCATGGATTCGTCTCATGCTCTAAGTGACAGGACAACCAGTAGCTATGATGTGCACTGACCACCAGAGTCTCGCAATCTGGGACCCCTTGGGGGATGTTGGACTGCTGGCTTCAGCCCAGTCCCTGCAGGCCAGGCCAAGAGACCCCACCGGTTCAGGAATCCATGGACCAGGCCTCTAGTATGCATATAAGATCTTTGGTTAATCTCTTCCTGCCCTCTCCCTGCCTCTCTGAGATCCATCAATTTGTTCCATGTTTCCATGCCTGTGCGTTGAATGTCTGCCCCTGGTGGTAAGTGCACATAACAGCTCCCGGTCAAACAGTCATTTACACTTTTATACATTACTACTGGTAGAGGCCTGATGCACAAAAATTTTTTAAAAATATATTTTATTGATTTTTTACAGAGAGGAAGGGAGAGGGATAGAGAGTTAGAAACATCGATTAGCTGCCTCCTGGGGATGTGCCCACAACCAAGCTATATGCCCCTGACTGGAATCGAACACGGGACCTTTCAGTCCGCAGGCTGACACTCTATTCATTGAGCCGAACCGGTTTTGGCACAAAATTCATGCATGGGTAGGGTGCCTAAGCCTGGCCAGTGATCAGGGCCAATCTGTGGGGTGACCAGTGGGGCGATCTTGGGGCGGGGGCGAAATAGTGATGGCACCCACCTTGGCCAGCCTGGTGCCACCTGCTCACTAGCCCCATCCTTCACCGTGGGGTTATTGGGGAATCCCCACTGGCACCCGCCTTGGCTGGCCTGGGGCCTGCGGGGGGAAGCTCCTGGGTTGAGCCCCTGGTGGTCAGTGAATGTCATGGTGACTGGTTGTTCCACCAGTCATTCCGCCGTTCAGTTGATTTGCATGTTAGGCTTTTATTATATAGGGTAGATGAGACCTAATACTTTTGAGTACTTACTACTGTCAAGCACTGTGCTTAGTGCTTTGCTTGTTTTACTGTAGGCTCAGCATACATAGTTCTGTGAGGTGCAGACCCTCAGGTGGGAAAACGAGGCATAGAGATGACCTGCAGAGAGGCAGTTGTTAGTTAATCCTCTGGGTGTGGTACCCTCTCCGTGTGCCTATGTTATGCCCTCATGCTGGGATTCTCTGCTATGCGGTGCCCTGGTGGGTTTCTCTTCCTCAGCTTGGGTGGGTCGGATGTGGTAGGTCCTCCCTCCCCCCTCTCCCCAGGCTGGCCTGAACATTGACTGTGTGTGCCCTTTATATTGTCGCTGATTGATAGTCTTCCGAAGTTCTTCCTCCTGCTCTCTTGCATTGGCCCCTGCGGGCCCCTCATAGACTGGCCCACTTCTAGGCTTTTAGAAGGACCTGGCACCAGCTTATCTCAGGACGTGCTGAATGCAGAACTGAAGAAGCTGCCCGAAGGCCTGCCTGGCACCAAGTACAGTCACGTGATGAAACTCCTCCGAGTGGCCCTCAGTGGACAGCCGGTGAGGCGGGCAGATGGGCTGGACTGTTCTGGGAAGCCCTCACTACCCAGTCAGCTAACATTCACCAGCAGCACTGAGCTCATCTTTCATACAACGATGAGCACTCCCCTCACCCACTCACTCACCAGACAGCACCTATTGAGTGCCTCCTGTGCAAGTGCTACGCTAGGTACAGAGGACACAGTAGTAAATCAAACACGCACACTCCCTTCCGCCATCCTTCGTGGGCTGGCTGTTGATTAGAGGTCACAGACATGTCAATAGAGGAAGAAGAGGCTCCGGGGATGCAGCCTCGGCCTCAGAAATGAAAGACAGTGCAATGCAAACTGCCCTGGGGTACAGGCAGCGGTGTTGGGGTTGGCTGGGGTATGACTTCCGCAGACCGAGGCTGGGCATGGTCTCTGAGGCAGCCTAAGATCATGGGCGATGCTTTCTCTTTGTTCTCAGCAAGGACCGCCTGTAGCTGAGATGATGGTGTCCTTGGGACCAAAGGAAGTGCGGGAACGAATACAGAAGGTGCTTTCCAGCTGACGGGAGAGGTGCCAGGCGGCGGAGGTGGCCTAGGAACCTGTGCGTGTGGAGACTGCCTTCGGAGGGAGGAGGGGTCCCGGGGCCCCCGGGAACTTGTAGCAGGAACCAGAGTCTGTGCGCACACAGTGTACACGTGGCTCCATGCAGCCCATCCTCGCCCGCTGGCTGGGAAGCCCAGCATCTCACCTCCCTGCATCTACAGAGGACGGCTCACGTCTGGTTCCCATGCAGCAGTACATGGCGGAGGTTTCCAGCTGGTTCCTGCACTGTCCAGAGGGCTCGTGTGTAGGCCGCCTTAGCTGCATAACAAATGCCACAGAGCTGGGGGCTTGAGCAACGAGTCATTTCCTCACTGCCCAGGAGAGTGGAAGTCTACAGGGAAGGTGTTGGCGGGTTTCTTTTATTCTTGGCTTGCTGATGGCTGCTTTCTGCTGTTCCTATGTCGTTGTCCTGAGGTGCCCTTGGTGCCTCTGGGTGCCCAAATGTCTTAGGACACCAGGCAGATGGGATTAGCACCCACCCGAATGGCCCAGCTGCACATACAGTTAACATTCGGAGGTCTCAGCCTTAGGCCTTAGGACCTTGGAGGGGACACAGTTCAGTGCATGTCAGCGTGGCAGCAGCCTGGACTCGGTTCTCGGCCCAGTTTGGACTCAGAGTGGCAGGGCTGAGCTGAAAGTCACTTTCTCGGGGCTCATCACGGGACAAGACTCATCTGTCAGGGTGGGCTGGGGAGGAGCACTTGTGGCTTACACTTTTTTCGTCCTGGACTTGGGGCAGCCTGCCTCCCTTCCCTAAAGACTGTCTGCTGCTTTCCCAGTTCTTCAGACATCGTCCTTGAACTCAGGCCTTTGCCCTGCCTAATAAGCATCTTTTTTTATTTTTTAATATATTTTTTAAATTGATTTTTAAAGACGGGAAGGGAGAGGGATAGAGAATTAGAAACATCAAAGAGAGAGAAACATCGGTCAGCTGCCTTGCACACACCTTACTGGGGATGTGCCTGCAACCAAGGTACACGCCCCTGACCAGAATCGAACCTGGGACCTTTCAGTCTGCAGGCTGACGCTCTATCCACTGAGCCAAACCGGTTCCGGCTAATCTGCATCATTTATTCATATCTACCTCCTCTTCATAACCATTATGGTCTGAAATGAGATGTTCTTGGGGTGAAGAGAAATAGCTAACGTAAAGGGAAGGCAGTGGCTGGGTACAGAGACCCACAGGCCTTCTCGGTGTCCCGGTGCCGGCCAGCCTCAGAGGCCCCAGTCATTGCTTCCTCCTGGCGTTCACCCGAATAGGGCTGAGTTGAGATGCATCATGGCTTCCTCCTTGTCCTCTTGGATCCCTTACTCTGCGGGAAACCACTTCCCTGGAAGACAAGCAGCCCTGTGGAGAGGCTCATGAGGCAAGAACCGAGGCCTTGCCGGCAGCCAAGTTCGTGCCATCTCGGAAGTCAGTCTTCCAGCCCCAGCCCTGCCTTCAGGTGACCACATTCTGACCGACTGCAGCCTTCATGCAAGAGCCTTAGCCACAACCACGAGGCAAGGCTGCTCTCAAGTGTCAGACACACACAAGTGGCAGGTAACCGGCGTTCATTGTCTGCAGCCACTAGGTTTTGCCCTGCCGGCTGGCTCGGTTGGTCAGAGCACCATCCCGATGCACCAAGGTTGCAGGTTCAGTCTCTGGCCAGGACATGCAGGAAGCAACAGTGGGTGCGTGGGTGGAGTAACACATTGGTGTTTTTCTCCCTCTCCCTCTGAAATAAGTCAGTAATAAAGCTACTGGGTTTAAGGATAACTTGTTGCCCAGCAAGTGTTCGCTCTTCCCCTCTCCTTGTCCACGGGAGAAGGGAAAGGGGATAAAGAATTCAGTGAGCCTGGCTGGTGTGGCTAAGCATCAGCCTAAGAACCAGGAGGTCACAGCTCATTCCTGGTCAGGGCACATGCCTGGGCTGCTGGGCTGCGGGCTCCATTCTTGGTAGGGGTCGCAGCCAAACTGATTCTCTCATCGATGTTTCTGTCTCTCCCTCTCCCTCTCCGAAATCAACAAAAATACGTTTTTAAAAAACAGTTTTGTTGAGCTTCACAGCTCGTCGTCTTGAAAAGTAGATCATAAAGTTCTGTGCAAGCACTGGACACCCGCTGTGCCTGACGAGGTTTACTGGAGATTACGTCTATGGGGTCTCGGCTGTGGGAGAGGCACGGTGTCTGGGAAAGCCAGAGGCCCGGCTGGCTGTGAGGAGCAGGCGCCACGCCAGGCTTGCTGCAGTGGGGGCACGGGGACTGCAATGCTCTATGGTTTGTTTCCCTGTCTGCGTTTCCGTCAGTTTTGGGTGGTGCGGCGGAGATGCGGGTGCCAGGAGGAGAGTTGCTGTTCTCAGCTGGGAGAGGTGTCCCTGGGGGGTGCTGTGCACTAAAGGAAACGCGTTTTTCCAAAAGGGACACGGGGACAAAATAGTGATTTGTGCACTTGCCTGAGGTGCAGCCGTGTCAGGTTTCAGAATTTGCTGAAATGCTTTAGTCCATTATTTTATTCCATCTTCACAATCCCATGAGAGAGCCATTGTAATTCCTGTAATACAGTGTTTCCCAAACTTCTCTCATGATGAAGATCACCTGGTGGAGTTGTTAAAATACAGATTCCTGAATCCCAAATAAGAAGTGCTAAACTAGAATTTTTGGGAACATATAGGTAAATTTGTATACTTAAGTTGTATACTAGAATTTTGGGGAACATATAGGTAAATTTGTATACTTAAGTTGTATACTAGAATTTTTGAGAACATATAGGTAAAATTGTATACTTAACCTATATGGGACCACTGGTTTTATGGTGGCCTTGCAATAATCAGCTGGAGGTCACACATAATCTATTGACATGAGTCTGCCTGACCATAAGGGAGCTGTGCTGTCTCCAGAACTTGGAGGAGCAGGTGAGCTCATTGTGCAGAGCGGGCGGTGGGCTAAACCTAAGAAGGCAGGATAAGGGGAAATAACAGCCCTGGGAAAATTGTTCATTTTAAGTTGTCAGTCAAGAATGATCCTATACAATAAAGAGGGAATATGCAAATTGACAATCACTCCATCACAAAGGTGGCAGCACCACAGCCGAGGCCAAGTTCCCATAAGGAACCTTAATAAGCAAATCAGCAGGGACCTGAGGCTATGTCCTCCCCTAAGGGGACCTCAGGCTACGCCCCTGCCCTTGTGTAAGACTGGGGGACCTCAGGTTGCACCCCCTGTCCTGGTGCCAGGCCAGGACACCTGAGGCTGCACCCCTGCACCTGGAGGGGCTTGACAAGGGATCTCAGGGGTGTCCCCCATTGGTGGGGCTTGACAGAGGACCTCAAGTCATGCCCCCCCATCCCACTCTGGGCTGGGGGATCACAAGCCATGCCTCTCATCCTGGAGCCAGGCCAGGGGACCTGAGGCTATGCCTCCTGCCCAGCACGCTTGGCAAGGGTGGGACTGGCCGGGTCTGGATCTTGCACACGGGGATCTGGATCTGGGTCGCTCGTGATTTTGAGGAGCGACCTGAACAAGGGGGTTGGGGGCTTTGGGAAGGCTAGGTGATCACCCAGAAGCAGCCAAGCCAAGAATGGGTTGGGGCCAGGGGCAACACCTGGAAGTGGACCAGGGGATAAGCACATGGGGCCCTGTGAATGAGGACGGGGGTCCCGAGTGGCCACAAAAGCCCCACCTTCCCGTGGTCCACGCTGGAAGCCAGCAAGAAGGTCCCTTGGCCTGAAGGAAGGGCTGGCTTTCCCCGTGAAAGGGGCAGAAATCTAACCCTCACAACCCGGGGAACAGTAAGTACCTCAGGAGGGGTGGGTCAGTGCCCCCAGAGTGGAAAGTGATTTTCGGGGACTTGACACAGCTCCCTCCGCGATGTCTAAGCCCATACACTGGGCCGTGGGGGTCACAGGACACTCCGTGTGAGATGCCCCGTGGTGGGGGCGGTGGAGGCCTCCGAGGCTCATGGAGACCCATGTCTGTCCGAAGGGGGGGCTGGCCTCCCCCTGCTTGTGGACCTGGGCCCTAGGTGGGAGGCAACCAGGGAGCAGAAGGCCATCTGCCCTTGGGGCTTTTAAACGCCGAAAAACACTTCCAGAGGTGGGGCCCTAGGCCCCCTTGTGAGGGAAAGGGCAGCCTGGCCAGTGCTGCTCGCTCATTGGTCCAATGAACCAGGGGGCGGGGTTTCCTGAACCAGGGGGCGGGGCCGGGCCCAGAGCTGAAGGCGCTCAAGTCAAAGAGGGCCAGGTGAACAGCTGAAGGTAGTCATGTCAACAAAGGGGCGGGGCCAGGTGAAGAGCAGGCAATTGTGACCCAATCAGGTGAAAAGCTGGTAGCCAGGGAAATAGGGAGGGAGGGGCCACGGGGTGGGGGCAAGAAAGGCCTGTTGGCAATGAGGCTCAGTGCCAGGCAGCAGCGACCTAAGCAAGGAGGTTGGGGTTTTGGGAGGCTGGCTCCATCATCAGCCAGAAGCCGCCCAGCAATGAATGGGTTGGGGCCAGAGACAACACCCCAAAGTGGTCCAGTGGATAAGGCCATGGGGCCCTGTGAATGAGGATGGGGGTTCCCAGTGGCCACAAAAGCCCCATCTTCCCGTGGTCCAGACTGGATGCCAGCAAGAAGGTCCCTTGTCCGCAAGGAAGGGCTGGCTTTCCCCGTGAAAGGGGCAGAAATCTGGCCCTGAGGGCTCAGCCACCAGTAAGTACCTCGTTTTTCTGAAAATAAGACATCCTCCGAAAATAAAACCTACTTACAGGTTTCCTTCGGAGTGAAATCTAAGGCATCCCCTGAAAATAAGCCCCCCCCCTCCTCCCCACTTGGCTACACATGAGAGTTTTGGTCCACTGATTGGGAAAGAAATGGAGTCACAAGAAATTCACCAGGAAATTCAGGAATTGGATAGTCATGATGATGTTCCAGAAGATGTTGACATGACTGTCATTGAATAAATGAGTAAATTGTTGATAGTGTAGGATTCACAGTTTGTCTGGTTTGTGTTGACAACTACCATACTACCGTACCATACACAGGAAATAAATTTCCTTTATTTTCATTTAACAATAAATGTGCACCATATTCTTCTTCATGGAAAAATAAGACAACCCCAGAACATAAGACCTATCTCATCTTTGGGAACAAAAATTAATGTAAGACAATGTTTTATTTTTGGGGAAACAGGGTACCTCAGGAGGGGCGGGTCAGTGCCCCCAGAGTGGAAAGTGATTTTCGGGGACTTGACACAGCTCCCTCCCCGATGTCAAAGCCCATAGACATTGCTGTGGGGGTCGCAGAACACTGGGTTGTGAACACCCCAGTGGTGGGGGCGATGGGGCCCCCGGGGCTCATGGAGGCCTCTGCCTGTCCGAAAGTGGGGGCTGGTCTCCCCATGCTCTTGACTGGGGCAATTGGAGGGAGGCAATTTGTGATCAGAATGCCATCTGCAGTTGGGGCTTTTAAGCATAGAACACCACATCCATAGGTTGGTTGGTAGGCCCCCCCCCCCCCCCCCCCCCCGTGTGTGTGAGGTTTTGGGCAGCCTGGCCAGTGCTGCTGGCTTACTGGTCCAATGAATGATTTGCGGGGTTTCTGGAAGAAGAGGGCGGTGCCAGGCCAAGAACTTAAGGCGGTCAAGTCAATGAGGGGGCGGGGCCAGGTGAACAGCTGAAGGCATTTATGTCAACAAGGGAGGGGGGTCAGGTGAAGAGCCAGCAATTGTGAGGTAAGCAGGAGAAAGGCTGCTGGGCAGGGACACACAAAAAGGCCTGGGTCAGTCAGGCCTGGCTCCCTGGCAGTAGCCACCTCAACAACGGGGCTGGGGGCTTTTGGGGGTAGGCTAGGTGATCAGCCAGAAGCAGCCAAGCCAAGAATTGGTTGGGGCCAT